TTCCTTGTCTGTCATTTCAAAGACTTCCTGTTCTATAGGATCTAGTGCTTGAGAGTTATTAATTTCCTTTTGTGTGGTGTACTTTCTTGATTTTTCATATTTCTGGTATCTTTCCTTTGGTGTTTTGTTATTGTGGCTGAGGATATCACAGTCCACTCATTTCACCCTGATGTCTGGCTTAGATCCTGAAGGGACTGACACTTCTGGACAGCAGAAAATAGCCTGGCCCATCCTGCCTGCCTTCTCTGGCTCAGCTGGCTTGGGCTGTGGGGGCTCAGAGCCTCTTAAGTCACTCTCACCCTTCCCACCCTGCCTGCCTTCTCTGGCTCAGCTGGCTTGGGGTGTGGGGGCTCAGAACCTCTTAAGTCACTCTCAGAGGCAGGGACCAGCCTGGGACAGAAGTCCCACCCCACCTGCTTTCTCTGGCTTGGCTGGCTCAGGGTGTGCAAGCCCCGAGGCTGTTAGGTCTCTCCCAGCAGGAGGACCAGCCTGGGCCAGAATTCCCACCCTGCGGCAGGCTTGGGGCATGTGTGCCCAGAAGCTCTAAAGTCTCTCTACAGAATGGGGAGCAACGTGAACTGGGGTCCCACAGTGGGTGGCTCCCATCTGCTCCAGTGCAGGTCTCCAGTCCTCTGTCTCTGCTCCTCAATAGCTGCAAATTGGTCACTCTATGGGTGAGAGCGACACTAGGAACCAACTACTCCACCATCTTGACCAGAACTCCCGTATTAGTCCATTTTTTTTGCTTATCACAAAGTACACTGAACTGGGTGATTTATAAAGAAAATGAAATTTATTGCTTACAGTTTTTGAGGCTGGGAAGTCCAAAGTCCATCTGGTAGTGGTGACCGTGACCCAGGGCTCTCACATTGCGAGATGGTGGAAGCAGAGAGAGCAGAAAGATAGACATGGAGACAGACTCTCCTCTTCTTTTAAAGCCCTCGGAACCACGCTCCTGACCACCATCTTTAATCCATTCACTATGGCATGGTCCTACAATCCAATCACCTCTTCAAGGCTCCACCTTTCAATTACCTTAATAGGATCTCCCACCCTCTTAACAGTCACAGTTTCTGATACATAAAAGTTTCTAATACATAAAACTTGGGGGACACAAGTTAAGTTTCTAATACATAAAACTTGCG